GATTTGATTTAGCTAGGTTTCATCATCATTGGATGAACCTAACTAAACCAAATCAAACATTTTTAAAATAATCAAAAGGAGTAAAACTTGAGTTGGCCGTCCATTGCCTAACTTCCTCTTTGGCCGAATTGCTTCTCTCATTCTCAAGGAGTTGAGAAGCTTGTGCTACAAGCTTCTCCTTAGCTTGCTTCCCAAGCAAGCTAAGTGAGAAGCTTGCTCCACAAGTTTCTAAATTCACTTGGAAGGTCAACTAACCTTACCATGGTTCCTAGTGAACCATGGTTAAGGTTAGCTTGCTCCTTAAGCTACCTACCTCTATATATTTGTAATTTCTACTCTTGTAATCACTTTTGACATTTATGAGATATAGAATTCAAAATTCTCTCTCATTTTCAAGAGTCTAAATCCGTGAGAACTTCTTTCTTAGTTCTCTCTCAAAAGTTCTTCACTTTGAAGCTTGGTTCCTTAAGCTTTTTCACTTCTTCAAGAGGTAACCGAACCTCTTATGGTGCTTCTCCTCCATTGGAGTTGTCTTCAAGGAGCTTCCGCCATTGTTGAAGAGTTCTAACCTCAAATAGCAAGGTCTTGGACAGTAGAGATTTTGAAGAATACTAATCCTCTTCAAGTTTCTTCCATCATACTTGGATTGGGAAATGAAAGTGGAGAAAATCTTCACTTGTCACCAGGTAGGGGAAGAAAGAAAAGTTCCCTTAGCCAACTTAGCTTTCCAAGGACAAGCTATGTACTGGTGGAAAACTTTAGTTAGGGAAAAGTGACTCCATAATGACCATCCATAGAGTACTGCAATGATTTAAGGAGTGCTATGAGAAGAAGGCTTATCCTTTCTTATTATAGTAAGGAGCTTATGGATAAGCTCCAAAGACTTCAACAAAAGAGTATAAGTGTGGAATAGTATAGACAGAAAATGGAGGTTTATTTGATGAGGACTAGAATAAGGGAAGAAGAAAAACTGACCATAGTAAGATTCTTGAGTGGTACGTCTTAACTTTGATATAAGAGATAAAGTTGAATTACTCCCTTAAAGGGTAGAGTTGATATAAGTAGGGACCTTGATGATTTGATCCAACTTTGTATATTTTGAGGTCGAATACGAACCTCAATACTCTAATCCGAGGTCAAATCCGAACAAAGACCAAACAGAGAAACCAGACATCAAATAGAAAAAGCCACAGGCCACACCACTCACATCAGTAGCTGGAGCGACCTACTCAGCAACTTGGGGCTTCACCTTAGTATCTTGGTAGAGTTGATATAAGTAGGGACCTTGATGATTTGATCCAACTTTGTATATGGGTAGAGCAACAACTTCTTAGAAAATGTTCTAAAAATATCAACTCTAAATCTTATTTCAAGGAAAACCTCAAGAGGGAGGGAAGTTCATCCAAGAATTATCCTCAAGAAAATCCCTCTAAAATTCAAGAAAATCCTAAAGATGTTGAGCAAAAAAAGATTACCTCACACACTAGCTCAAGGACAAGTGAAATCAAATATTTTAAATGTCTAGGTAGAGGCCACATTGCTTCTCAATGCCCCACCAAAAAGACTATGATACTAAGGGGTAAAGACATCTATAGTGAAGAGTTTTCATCATCTTCATCTTCTAGTGAGAGTGACGAGGAAGCTAATGACTATGAAGAGAAAATAGAAAAACTTTGTCCTGTTGATGGTGATCTTCTAATGGTCAAAAGGCTTCTTGGAAGTCAACCTTGTCCTACTACTTTATCACAAAGAGAGAACATCTTTCATACAAGATGTTTAGTTTCCAAAAGATCTTGTTCTCTTATTGTTGATAGTGGATCATGTTTCAATTGTTGTAGTACAAGATTAGTTAACAAGCTAGCTCTCACCACTATTCGTCACCCTCAACCTTATAAAATTCATTGGCTCAATGAAGGTGAGGAATTGGAGGTGAATCAACAAGTGAAGGTCAAGTTTTCTATAAGGAATTATAAAGATAAAGTGTTATGTGATGTAATCCCTATGGAGGCTTGTCATATTTTGCTTGGTAGGCCATGACAATTTGATAAACAAACTATACATGATGACCTTACTAACAAAATATCCTTCACTCATAAACACAAGAAAATTGTTTTTCATCCTTTAACACCATCCCAAGTGTTTGAGGATCAAAAACAAATGAAAAGAAAAAGAAAGAAAGAAAAGTAAAATTTCTCTTAGGGAAGAGTGAGGGAAAAAGTATCTCCTCTAAAGAACTTATGACTAAAGAGAGTTACTTATCACCAAACGTCCAATGAAAAATACTCTCTTTATCCGTAAAGATCTTAACTCTTACCCTCATGTTGCCACTAGTCATGAAGTTGAGAATTTGAAACAAGACACTTTTCAAGAAAAAGAATCTCAACTTCAAGATATAGTGAAGAAGTAGTGGATTATACCTAGTTCTACTTCTTGTGCTACTTCCTTGGAGGCGCCCAAAGAAGATAGTTTTTCTATTTTTAGGACTCCTTGTAGACACCCAATTTCGTCCGGGGGGCACACAAACAACCCTCTCCTTGAGTATTCTGGGGTTTTTGAGCAGTGTTCTGCCCTAGAAATCACTCGGAGAGTTGATCCGACGAAGTTCTTGAGCCCGGAGCCATTTTGCTTGAGGATCGAACCTAGTCGAAGGGAAATCCTCCGGATTTCCATAGTTAAAAGTTTTTAGAAGGAGCGAGCGAGCTTGTAGAGCGAGGGAACGCCAAAAAGCTTCCCAGTTTTACTCAATATATATCACCAGGTAGGGGAAGAAAGAAAAGTTCCCTTAGCCAACTTAGCTTTCCAAGGACAAGCTATGTACTGGTGGAAAACTTTAGTTAGGGAAAAGTGACTCCATAATGACCATCCATAGAGTACTGCAATGATTTAAGGAGTGCTATGAGAAGAAGGCTTATCCTTTCTTATTATAGTAAGGAGCTTATGGATAAGCTCCAAAGACTTCAACAAAAGAGTATAAGTGTGGAATAGTATAGACAGAAAATGGAGGTTTATTTGATGAGGACTAGAATAAGGGAAGAAGAAAAACTGACCATAGTAAGATTCTTGAGTGGTACGTCTTAACTTTGATATAAGAGATAAAGTTGAATTACTCCCTTAAAGGGTAGAGTTGATATAAGTAGGGACCTTGATGATTTGATCCAACTTTGTATATGGGTAGAGCAACAACTTCTTAGAAAATGTTCTAAAAATATCAACTCTAAATCTTATTTCAAGGAAAACCTCAAGAGGGAGGGAAGTTCATCCAAGAATTATCCTCAAGAAAATCCCTCTAAAATTCAAGAAAATCCTAAAGATGTTGAGCAAAAAAAGATTACCTCACACACTAGCTCAAGGACAAGTGAAATCAAATATTTTAAATGTCTAGGTAGAGGCCACATTGCTTCTCAATGCCCCACCAAAAAGACTATGATACTAAGGGGTAAAGACATCTATAGTGAAGAGTTTTCATCATCTTCATCTTCTAGTGAGAGTGACGAGGAAGCTAATGACTATGAAGAGAAAATAGAAAAACTTTGTCCTGTTGATGGTGATCTTCTAATGGTCAAAAGGCTTCTTGGAAGTCAACCTTGTCCTTCTTTTGCAGGTACCACCCCCATCTTGGAGCACCAGCATACTAGTGAAGGAGGCTCGCCGATCTTACACGGCGGATCAGCTCTACAGCAGATTTCCGGTAAGAACGAGTTTCTATATACTTGTTCCCGTCCCTATTCTCGTATTTTATACCTATCCCTATCCTTATACTTGCTTGTATGTATATAGTCATCTCTATTCTTGTATTCGGTTTAATGAATCAACTATTACCCATACTCGTACGTGTCCAATCAAATTGGGTATTTTCCGTCAATGTTGAGGCGAGTTCGGGCATTACCCATAGATATGAATTTACTTGTCATACTTACCTCGCACCGATCATCATGAATGGGAGGTTGTCGCTCTAATCGTGGTGGTGCAATTTCACACTAACCTCTAACAACAACTTCACGGAGTACTCCTAGTCAAGGTCATCTAACAAATATGAGCCAAGATCTAAATGCACCTTCGTCACACGTACCCACAATCATGTGCAATGCCACGAGGTCGTCGCTCTGATCATGGTGGTGTAGATTTGCACCAACGTTGGCTAATAGCTTCACACAATGCTCCAAGTTAAAGCTGACAACAAAGAGGAATGTTGTGTGGTTGTCAGTAGTCGGAATTAGGGTCTATTATTATTGTCAGAGTCAACGTCATTGGGAAGAAGTGTAAGGAATTTGAGACTTAGGTTCGGGGTTTGAGTAGTCCACTGTAGAAATTTCGTCTTTGCGTAGTACCGCAAAACGGAGAATCCATCACCATTGTTCGCGTCTGTTTGTATCAACGTCTTTGTGAACCACACTAACTTCTTCAAACCTTCCAAGGTGTCTTCGTTGTTGTCGTCGTCAAGCTTCAAGCTCTAGAATGGGGCGCAATACCACGACACGAAAAACCCACTACCAATTATTCACGTTTGATTATGCCAACATTTTTGCAAATGACACTAGCTTCTTCGAACCCTCCAAAGTGCCATCACCGTTGTTGTCGTCAAGCTCCAAGCTCTAAAGTAGAACCAACCTAAAGTGCACGAAGACCTTGTCGGTGTTGAGATTTACCAAAATCTCATCGTCATCATGCGACATGCACATATTGAACAAAATAACCAATGAATTAAATTTGGGACGGGACAACTATACAATTTTTCTTTGGATAAAATGGTCATTTACTATCAAAAAATAAATTTAATATACTAATAAAATTTTTATTATTAAATAAATTTCAATCATTCAATTTAATTATTTATATATCTAATGGTATCTTTTACTTCACTACCAATAAATCACGTGAAAATTATATTTTATTTTATGGACCCATCCATGAGTCATTTAATATAAAATTGTTGAATGATATAATACTTAATAAAAATTATATATATATATATAGGAAGTAACATAATTGTGAATACCCTAAAATGGAAGAAGAGAGTGGAAGTGGAGTGAGGAGAATGAAGAATACCACTGTTCTGCCGTGGGAAATGATAATTGAAATCCTGTTGAGGTTGCCGGTGAAGTCTCTTGTCCGATTCAAATGTGTATGTAAGTCATGGTTTGTTCTCCTATCAGATCCTCGCTTTGCAACATCACATTTTGAACTAGCTTCAGCACGGACACACACACTTATATTAATAGCCCCTTCTGCTTCTCAAATCCGTTTCATAGATTTCAATGCACCCCTTCACCATGATTTTGCTTCCGCTGTCATAAACCTCAGCTTTCTGCCTCCCAACACTTGTTACAAACTCCAAATCGTAGGTTCCTGTAGAGGGTTTCTACTTCTCAACTGTTGTCAAAGTCTCTGGGTGTGGAATCCATCCACACGTGTCCACAAAAAAGTATCTCCCTCACCTATTGAGTTCACTATGAATGCCATCTGTTTCACCTTATCCTATGGTTTCTGGTATGACCCATCAAAGGATGACTACTTGGTGGTTAAAGCCTCCCACAAACCAAACTCGCGATATAATGCGACATGCGTGCAGTTTTTCTCGCTCAGAGACAATGCTTGGGGAGATATTGAGGCTTCCCATTTGTCTTATTTAGACTCCTTCGAGAGCACCAAAGGAGGGTCTATTTTGAACGGTGCTATTCATTGGTTGGGGTTTCGTCATGGTATGTCAATGTTTGCCGTTGTTGCCTTTGATTTAACAAAAAGGAGTTTTTCGGAGATACCCCTGTCAGATGATTTTCAGGGTCACTTTGAATGTTGTGATTTGGGGAAACTTAGAGAATTGCTCAGTCTATATTGTATTGTGGGGTGGAACCAGTCGGTAGAAATATGGGTGATGAATGAATACAAAGTGCAATCATCTTGGACTAAGGCTATTGTTGTGTCTATTAATGATATTCCCACTGGATGCTTCTCCCTTATTTGTTCTACAAAAGATGGTGATATGGTTGGGACTAATGGGCGTTGTAGATTGGCAAAATATAATGACAAGGGTCAGCTACTAGAGCATCGATCCTATTGTAATGGTCCATGTCGATCCCAGGTCTCTGTGTATACAGAATCTCTGTTTTCACTCCCGTGACAGTGAGCAAGCTGAATAAGATTACTGACAGTAGCGGATGAGAAGGACTATGTTGTGAAATATTTCCTGGTACCTGTACTATTATCTTGATAATCACTGTGTGTTGTGATTTATGAATTCCTCTGGTATATTATGTTGTGAACAAGTAATACCTGGAATCATGAAATTGCTATTTCATCATTATGTTTTGTTTTATGATTATTTCATCATGATGTTGTAACCGTGTTGTTGTTGTTTATAATTTGTATCTTTCCACTCTTGCACTGAGATCTTAGCTTAGCCTTAATACTAATAGTGAATTCATTGTATTGCTGGCATGATATGTGGCCATGTTTTGAATTGGGAAAATAAGTTGATAGCTGACACTGTTGATATAAACTGGATACAACGCTACTATTAATGGTGATGTCCAATTTAGTCTAAGCTAGATGACAAGATGTTGTGAAGTCAATATTATCAATCTTGGCTTCCATACCTAATTAAAGGTGTCTTAAGGCACAGTTAAAGCTTATTATGTGGATTATGACTTTGGTTTTCGTGTGGTTCTTAACTTCTTGTTATGTGTATTTTCAAGAAGTTGAATTGTACTAAGCTTGATATGCTGTTAATTTTGTGTTACCAGATAATGCACATCATTTTCTTGCAGTAGTACTGTAATCGTCAACAAATAGTTGTTATATGTATCTATTCCTTGACACCTTCTGCTTGTTCCACTGGTGGTTAAGTTAAAGGTAGAACATATAATACACCTATAATAAAACCTTTATTTTTACATTTCTAAATTCTCGCTTAGTTTTAAAATTCGGAAGTTATTCAAGTATTGTTTAAAACAAATGTGTGAGCAGGTGGTGACTTTGGTTGTAACTTAAAAGTTGCTAATGAATGATCTTGTGTAAAAAATGATGTGTTGGTTGTTTTGTTGCATGCCCAATTCTGTATCTTCTAAGTAAGCATGTATTGTTTCATTGTGCCCAATTCTCATTTGATCCAAGTCAAATAGTTACAATGATTACTTATACTAAATTTTGATGTCTTTTTCCATTAGGTGGCCGGAATGATGCAAGATTCCACACCGATTTCAGTTTTTTCAACTTGCCTTTGACTTGAATCACGATAGCTTAGTGTTAGTAACTTATTTAATCCGCAAGTTGATGAACTTGGCATAAAGAGCAAATGAATCATTCCTAAGAAAGTACGAGTTGTTCGGATAAATTTTTCAATAAGCATCTATAGGAGGGGAAAAAAAAAAGAGTAAATTTATTTTTACACCATTAATATATATTTAAGTATTTTATATGACGGTGTTTGTGTTTCCGCAACATCATCGTGAAGAGTATTCCCAGACAACAACTTTAAATGGATTCACATTCATCCATCCGAGGCAAATTTTTTGGGCCTCTATGATAAAAGAGGGGTACTTTTAAGTACCTCTATGATGAATTTGTTTGCTTTGTTGTTGATGGTTTTGGTTTGGATGATGCATGTCATGTCTCGAACCTGAGACCCAACAGTGATATTGCAATAAACAAACCATTGCACCATGTTAGAGACAGACAATACACTAGGAAAATTAAATTATATAAACAAGTACACAGCCGTAATTATTGATATTATAATATTCGTTATGCAAATTTTTTAAGTCCAAATAATTAAATATTGAAAATCTTTCGATGTCTTCAAATTTTCCGTATTACTCAAACATGACCGTCTTTTCGGTGTTTTCATTATCTAGTTTCTTTTGCACCAATATGCCATACATAGTAATCTATGTGCAATGTTTGGCTGAATTGAATGCTTAATGTATTTTTAAATATTTTTGTTTTTGTTTCTTCGTGTATTTTAAGAAACATTAATAATTTTAATCAGCATTATTTGTATGTATTTAGAATTTTTAAATTAATTTCTTATTTAACAATTGACATTCAAATATATTAAAGTGAAATTAAAATGGATAATAAAATATAAAAATAATGAGGTTTTCGTGGGGTTCGTTAAGAAATTCTAGTGGATTTTTTAAGGTAAAAAAAATATGATGTCATATAAAAGTATAGAATATTATAGAATAAACTACCGCCTTATACCACATAAGTTGAAAAATAAAATTACAAGTTTATGTGGCATTGCTAGCTCTCCTCTTTGTTAATATGTATTGAAAAAATAATCCATATTTTTAAATTTAAATTTTTGGAGGTTCTTTAGACTTAAAAGGATATATTATTTTTTATTTAAAATATTATTTTTAATTTTCTGTTATAATATTATGATGTAAAGTTAATAAATAGAGATTCTTAAAATTAAAATAATTATTTAGTCTTTAGAGGAGGTCAATATCCTAAATAAGAAGGGAAATTATATGAAGAAAATGTTTCTAAAGTTTCTTTAGAAAACTTATAAGGAAAGTCTTCCAAATTTTGTTAGAAAAATTGTATGAGAATTGTTTTAGTGTTATCATCAAATTTGACAAAAAAAAATTATAATGTGATTTAAAATAATGAACATTTTGTGATATATTTTGTGTGATATTTTTTTATGGTATTATTTTGTGTGTATTTTCTCACCATTAAGTGTAAAGAAAAAAATCTTTTATTCCCAACAATATGTATCTACTAGAATGCATGACACTAAGATAAGAAAAAACTTTGCACACCAAAAATATTGTCGAATATGGAGAAATAGCACAAATGTTCTTACCAATTTTGAATATAAGCAATAAAAAAATATTTCACTTTAACTAAAAAGAATAGTTAACATCATTTAATCACATTAATCTCATTTAAAATTTAATTTATCTTCTTAAATTACCTTTTCTTGAAACTTAATATTAAGAATAAAAAAGATCATTGAAAATCAAACCTCAATTAAATGAAGAGATATTTTAGAGATAGTAGAAAGAAATAGTGTGAGACCCGTGGCTGGTATATACACACTTCCCCTCCCAACTCTCACTAGAAAAATTCTCTCTTCCCCTCTCAAGGCTCTCACTTCTCCTTTTCTTCCTCTTGCTTGTGGTGATATTTGGCAGCTGAAGGTGTTGATCAAGCTTAGGCAAGGGCTAGTTGAAGATTTCCTCCTTTCTTCATTCAAGTTTCTCTTCTTCTCCAATCTCCGCAGACCCGAAACTCGAATTTTCTTCAAAACTGAGGTAAGGGAAGTTAGTATTTTGGCTGCGTTTTTGACTGGAAAATGGGTGTAGGAACTCATCTGGCTGCTGGTAATTGATTGTGTTTTGGCTGGGTTGCTGGAAAAATTGGGGTTTTGGGATTTTATGGTTTGGAGTAAAAATTTGGGATTTCTTTGATCTGTTGTTGCATGCGTATAAAGCTGGAACTTTCGAGCTCCTTGATGATAATGTAGCATTTTGAACCGTTTGCATGTGAGTTTGCTGTGAAATTTTGCAGGTTTTGGGAATTTTTCGAACTTGGGAGAGTTACTGATGAGTTCGCGCTGGGCGTTGTTCTTCGCGCCGGGCGCGCGACCACCAGGAGACTCTGTTTAGGCAAGTCCGCCGGGCGCAAGGCTGTGTGCGCTGGGCGAGCTTGTAAATGGGAGTCTCTGGTTGGCCCGCGCCGGGCGTGGCTCGAGCTGCGCTGGGCGCGATATCAAGAGTAACATGTTTTTTGGGATACTTGGGTCGCGCTAGGCGCACCTTGAACTCGCTGGGCGCGGAGGCTCCTTGGGAGTCTCTGCCAAGAGCACGCCGGGCGCAATTGCGAATTGCGCTGGGCGCGAGACCTTGGTAGGTCTCTGCCTTCCCCACGCTGGGCGCGGGTTAGGCCCCGCTGGGCGCACGAGACTCCTTGAGTCTCTGCCAGGCAGGCGCTGGGCGCAATTTGGAATTGCGCCAGGCGCGGGAGAGCCTTGGTGCTCTCGGGTTGAGTCTCGCTGGGCGCGAGTACTCCTGCGCTGGGCGCGCTGGTCTTGGTGCTCTCGGGTCAAGCCGCGCTGGGCGCGACCTCGAGTGCGCCGGGCGCGCAAGGAGATGATGATCTATATGATGTTGGCTGTTGAGTTGTGCCGAAATTGTTAATCAATGATGTTATATGCTGAACCAAGTTGAATTTGATGAATATGCTGTGATGACTAGGGGATAAAACTGAGATATATATATATGTTAGTTGTATTAGAGGTGTATTGTTGAGCTGGAATCAATGGATTAATAAGAGAAATTATATAGTATAGCGGAATTATAGACTGTTGGGCTGAATTGTAGAAAATAATAATTTTGTTGAATGGCTGTGCTGTGTTATGATGTGTTGTGATGTGTTGTGTTGTGTTGTGCTGTGCTGAGCTATGCTGGATTGGGTGATATTACAGCCGTTAAGTCGGTGCTGTTGTTAGCCACACATGTAGTGCTGATTCTAACTGCTAAGGCGGTGCTGTTGTTGCCGCTGCGCGGTGCCGTCATAGCCACTTGAGTGGTGCTGTTGTTGCTGCTTAGCAGTGCTGATATTGCCGTATTGCGGTGCTGATATCGTTGAGTGGTGTAAGCTGTACAAGTGTGTGATAACTGTATCTGTGGTTATTCATATTGATATTCATATAATTGTATGTTGAATTTTAATTTCACTAGCTTACCCTTTTGCTGTTTTCCATGTTATTGGACTGCGATGATCATACTATGTATGGGAGCAGGGCAGGAATAGGTGGGCGTCTTGTAGTGAGTCTCCGGCGGACCTTGCAGTTGTTTTGCTTGTGTGGTTGTTTTGCTTGTAGCTACTTGGGTAGTAGCATTTGGTTGTAAACTTCTTTGGTACACTTTAACTCTAGTCAGACTGGAACTTTGTATATTTATATATTCTAGATCCTATATTTATATACTTGTTCTATCTGTCTGGTGTTTCTAGTGTGTTATGCCGTGTGTAGTGACCAGCCGGGTCGTTACAAATAGAAAATAATATAATATATTAAAATTTGGGCTAAAATATATGTTTTTAGTCCCTCAAATTTAAAATTGTTGTTTTTAGTCCCTGTAATTCCAAAAAATCTTATTTTAGTCCTTATATTCAAATTTTGTTAAGAAATTTATCAAACATTGCATAAAATCTACCTATTAGTATTCCTATCAGTGAAAATATCACATTAAATCCAGTTGATATTGCATAACTGTATTAATTAGTCACTTTCAAATATGTTATTGGTGACTTAAGGGACTAAAATAAGATTTTTAAAAATTACAGAGACTAAAAATAATAGTTTTAAATTTGAGAGACCAAAAATAAATGTATCTTAAATTTGAAGGACTAAAAATATATTTAAGCCTAAAATTTACTTATATTTAAAATTAATATATTTAATTTTTTTATATTCATAATCGGAGAGAATGTGTTATAAGAGAAAATAAAAAACATAAATACAAATTTAACTAGGTTTGAGACTTTCTTACATGCACGTAA